GGCACTATCTTCTTCATGGAATGCATCTCGCTTAATTGAATTAAATTTGGATTCACTTGGAAATATTTCACCGTCTCTTTCACTCAATACTGCAGCAATTTGACCAACTTGCTTCTCCAAATTTGCGATTGCTTGAATCATCAATGCAAAAGCTTCTTCCCATGAAGGTTTTTTGGGTTCCACTGGTGTGGCTTCTTGTATAAACTCAGAGAATTGAGCACTAGAAGACCAATTTTCCGTTGGAAATTGTTGATAAGCCATCTCTTTCCTACTACAAGAAACAATGAAACGAAGTTAAAAAATAACAATGGAAAAGGAAAATAATAAATAGAAATTAAAAAATTTTGTAAAAGAAAAGTAAGGGAAAGAACTTAATTCCACCACAAGAGAATCCTACAGTGGGTTTGAAAACTAACAAACTACCGCAACCATTTTGTTTTTGTTTATTTTTTTCAAAAAAAAAAATTAAAAAAAAACTATGAAAACTAAACTAGAAAAATTAAGTAAAGCGCAATTAACAAGCCGAATTGGAATTAAGGGGCAATCCTCGGCAACGGCGCCAAAAACTTGAGGTGTATTTAAACTAACTTAAATAATAGATTAATTTAAACCAAATTAAACTCACAAGCGCACGAATCAATTGTAGTAATATGTGCAAATACAAGGTAGATCCCACCTGGATTGCTTTAACACCAATTTAACCGATTAATCACGCTAGACTTTATTAAACAAAGAAATGATAGATTGAATTGAATAATTGAGTACTTGATTAAGACTAAAATTAATAAGAAAAAGAAAAGACAATTAATTAAAATAACCACACGACAAAAGAAAACCTAAGGTTATGAATTCACCAATAACAATCATATTTACTTTTCCTAGAGCCAACTACTATCCAATTATAATGCCAATGTTAAAGGTTGTTCTTTCTAAGGTATGAATTAATCCGTGGTCAAGCATCAACTCTTGTATCTCTATATGATAATTCGATCCTATTGGTTAGGCATACAATTAAACACATAAAAATCCATTAAGCGTAGAAGAATCATGTAAACCAAGTAGGACTAGCTTGATGTTGGTCATCCTCACTAGTTTGTCTACTCTTCTTAATCTTAGTTCCAATAAACCTAATTGATTGGTCATCCTCATAGATTTATCTAACTATCTAGATGCAAAATTCCTAAAGGTGACCAATTATTAGAAATCTGAATCTAGAATAAAATACTCACAAAGATTAAGCATATAACATGGCATATAATAAGATAATAATTAACAAAGTAATTCACATATATTCATGTCATGGCTTCATCATAGACGTGAGAAAATAACTTAGTTACACATAGAAATAAAAATAAAAGAAGGATAGAACCCAGAATCCATGGCAAAGCACGTCCCCAAGCTCTTCTTCACTAATTGCGAAGATGGTGAATCGTGTAGCGGTGCGGGTGATATCGAGGGATGCGGGGATGTAGAGAGAGCTTAGGGCACCTTATTTATACTAGAAAAACCCTAAAAGGTCTGGGAGAAACTCTCCTAAATAAAACCAACTCTTAAACAATTAATGACACAAACTAGGAAAGAATCATTCTTGGCTAGGGAAACACGTCATCTGTCTTGCACGCTAGTTTTGGGGTCGATTTATCTCCTGGAAAATTCTGTAAAAATATGAGAAACATAGCTTTATCTTTTATCTTTCCAAGCATATATTGCACACCACTAGGAAAAAATCAGAAAAGTTTTCAAATCTTCATTCTCCCATAGCTGAGTAATTCTGATGGGAAAACAACTTTTGCGGGATTGATTTGTAAAACTGGAATGAATGGTTCCATGAAAAATTATGAAATTCGGGCATAACGATCTTCCGCCTCTTAGCTTCCTTCTCCAATTGGCCTTGCATCAAAAATCCTCCGGAAAGTCGAATTATCACCAAAAACGTTCTAAGTGTGCAGATTGACTGAAACTGAGAAAAAGAAAGTAATAAGGTTCTTTTATAATCAATTCCTTGACAAAACTTAGGGATAATTAACATAAAAATATGATAAATAATGCACTTATTGATGAGTCAATATTATGCCATATATTTTACCCTATTCTTAGTTATAGTTTGGTTATTTTGGTAGAATTTTGATACTTTGTTATATATTTTCAATGTAGGATATTTGACTTCCTCTGGAGAAAAAAGTAAACAAACAGATGAATTTTGGAGTGATTCCAATTGGAGGATGTTCATGCTCCTTTAAAGATAATTGTATCAAAGTTTCAGATTTTTTTACTAAGCCATTTGACCGTGGCGATGAAATAAATGCCCAACGTGCAAGTTTTTCAGATTGACGTTTTTGGACGTTTTGGGTATTTTAGAGGTCAAGATGGTATATTTTTTGGATGATTCCTTCTGAGGATTTGTAGGGGACGTTTCCAGCTTTCAAAAGAGACCTTTTGGAATCAAATCGAAGTTGATGTGACTGGTCAAAGGTCTGATTTTTTGAGAAATTTGAATTTTAGTTTAAATAGGAAACCTTTTATTTTATGTTTTATTATTTTATTATGCTTCCTAGTTTTATTTAAGACCTTTTAGGTTTTTATTTTGTAGTAGCATAAATAAAGATATTTAGCCATTAGGGTTTTGAGGAAGGAAGGAGAGCAGGAGAACACACACACACACACACTTTAGAGAGTATTTCAAGTTTATTTTCTAGGTGTTTTCTATCCTTATTCTCAATAATATTTTGTTTTATAGTTGTTCATAACTAATTTCCTTTTGCTAGGGTAGGGCGAAGCCAAGAGCCTTAACATGAATATGTGACTTTATTAATTTGCTTATGAATGGATGCATTTTTGCTTTGAATTATTAATCACTGTGATTAAACTATCTAATTGTCTTAATGATTCGCGACCATTAAGGTTTTTAGACAAGTAATTTGATGCAATTTCTGTTGAAACATCATTCTGAAATTGAGGAGGGCTTCTTGTGATTAGTAATTGTAAGTTCACTTAAGGCGAACATCACGCTCTTAAGGGTTGCATTGTTTTTCAAAGGGTTTTCACAAAACGTAATGAGTTTTGCATGTTTATATTTGATCTGAACATCACAGATGAGTTGCATATTAGATATACGTTTTTGCTTGAACATCATGAGGAAAATATGTATTAGGAAAGCCTAACATTCAAAGCATGAATGTAGAAATTCATAAGTAATTGGTAAAATTGCATAGAATTGTTAATGGTGACGACAGAACCCTAGTGTTTAAATTGTTTTCCAAAATCGTTTTCTTTTGCTTTCTTTACTTGGTTGATTTTAATTGTTTTTATTTAATTTCATTTTTATTATTTTAAATTTCAAAATCAACCTTTTCAAAACTTGTTTTAAATAATAAGCTATGAATTAGTTTAAGTACATATTATCCATTCAATCGCTGTGGAAAACAACCATACTTGAGCTACTATACTACGATAACCTTATACTCTTACAAGTATTTTTAAGTTTTTTTATCCCTACTTTTGTAGGTGGCAAAAACCCTATCACTTATCACTATTTAGTAATGGCGTGTCTCTTTACGTATCATCTCTACTTGGTTATTAATTAATTAAGATAATTAAATATTTTTCCTGTATTGTTTTTCTTTGCTTTCTTAGTAGCCTTGTAATCCCTTTCTAGTTTTATGTTGAATTTGTGTAACATGAGAAAGCAGCATGATTTGTTGCACAATTATGAGTTTGCGGGTATCATCATTCTCATTTATGTGCTTACTAAATTCGAAAGGAATTTGAGTATGATATATTCATGTGTTTACTAACCAACTAAAAATGATAAATTAAGTGGACCTACATTGATTTTGGGTATCTCATACCGAATTCTTCATCTTTCCATCTCTGGTAAGTAAACAAGGCCATGATTAGATATGTACGTAATACCACCAGCATTTAGAACAATTTCCAATTCGGGAGAGTAACTTCGAAATTTTTTTTTTTTTTTAAGGTGTGAATTCGAATTTCAACCATATAAGTTTTGGACAATTTGGAAGGAACATCACTCCTATTACATCAGCTCATTTAATAGTATTTTGAATACTGTTGTGGCCTATTTTTCTAAACAGAGAGAGATGGTACAACGACAAAGAGAAAAGAGAGAGTTGGGTAATTTTGTGGTAATGTTTCTCATCACTTATATCTTTATTTATAGTAATCTTCGTAGACTTACTCACCTTGCAAGTAATACAAACCTAAAAGAATAAGCTCTTCTAGATTACATGGAAACCCTAAATATAATCTAAAAATGATTTAGACAATCACTCATGTGGTATAAGTAATATTACAACACTCCCTCTTAAGTGTATTACTCAAGTACTTGTCACATCAAATCTTCGTGGATGATGTAGAAGCAAGCAACACATAGTCTAAGGAGAAAAGTGATAAAATGCATTAAATAAAAACTAAACATCTTCATGATGCAAGTAGAATGCACACAAAGATATGATCAACCTATAGTAGGTGTTTTATCAAAACCTCGTCAATCCAAAAAAAAAACCCAATGGGAGAAAATGATCCAGATCGTAGTGCCACACCCCTACCTGATATCCAAAAAAAATAAGGGTAAAGATGTGATGGATATCACCAAATAGGTGATGAAGCCATAGGTAAAAATTTAAAATTGGGATATTTTGGATGCGGTCCCTAATCCTTAACATTCTTTGATTAAAACCTTAATAGTATTCAAAGTTTGATCAAGGTCCCTTGACTTTGTACACTTCATTATATTACTATTAATATTTATATTTTTATAGTTTTGACATTAATTGTTTGATATTTTATGAGATTTATAATCCTATAAATTTAAAATCCCTCATTATAATACTTGACACACCCCGTCCCGAAGGAGGGCATGCTGGCCGTCACGTGAGAGTGACGTAACCATTTGCACAGTACGGAAGCTTTAATTATACAATTTATAAGTTGATACACCCGAAGGTGAGTCCTAATTTTGTCCAATCTGTCAGAACACCGTCGAATTCCTCGTAGTCACCACACCTTTGTGATTCCTGAACCTGGAGGGGCGCAAAACCAAAATTGAGTGGGTCAGTAAAACAATTCTTTTCCAAATCCAAACATTTCTCAAAACGTTGTAACCCCTCTCCGTAAAACCTGTATACTTTCCCAGAAATGTAAAATATAAATATACATATATATTCTCAAAACTTCATTGTTACTATCTCAACATTATCTCTTTATCAATCATGCCATGCCATGTCATCTCAACATTTCTCATATTAATTATGCCATGCCACATTATCTCAACAGTAATAAGGTATGAATGCATCAACATAATCATATCAGGTGCAAGAAAGTAATCAACCGTAGGCCCTCTAATAGCCCTATACGGTTGAACCTAGAGCTCAAAATCTATCATTATCACTCTACCGGAGTCACCTCTGTGACCCGTCTGGCCTTCTGCACACAAGTTACGCTCTAGTGCTTCTCATAAATCATCTGTGCACATAATCTAAGGTCACCCACCAGTCGGAATCTCACTAACACTCTCGCGACTGGCCTGTCGTACCCACTCCGCGTGGACTGTACGACTAGCATCTACTTGGATCCAAGGCGAGCGTGCGATGCGGTGAATACTATAAGCACTAAACTATGGTGCAGGATTTGAGCTCAATATACATCAACATCATCATAACAGAAATAAATACTCACATGTGCGTCCACCGCACCATTTCATACATATGCATCATAAATCAATTCTTACCTGTGCGTCCACCGCACCAATTCATACATATGCATCATAAATCAATTCTTACCTGTGCGTCCACCGCACCAATTCATACATATGCATCATATATTAATTCATGCATGGCATTTCAACTCACATTTCTATATACTTTTCATATCAATTCTATGCATGGTATTTCACTTCCCGTTTTTCCACATAACTCATATGCATTTCATTTTAAACATATTTTCATTTCAATTCAATTTCTGGGAAACGTCAAGTATATATATATACGGAAAACAAAACTGCCCACTCACAGAATACATCGACGTGTCGAAGGTCCCTGAGCCTCCCTTAGCCATGCCCAACGTCCGTATAATCCTCGCCTATACGAGAAGTAACCAAATTAACATTATTTAACGCATAATCCCACTCTTAGCTAATAACTCCTCATATATTGCTCAAATTGGGTATATGAATATACCACGGTGATCTACTCGACGTCACGGACGTCGACATATTTTTAGATTAATTTTTTTACTGTAGCACGCGCCCCCACGCGCCAAGGAAGGCACGGGTCCACGCGCCCCCACGCGCACCTTCTTCTTCCTTGGGTCGCCGGACTGGTTTTTCCGGCGGCCGTTTTCTGGGCAGTTTTTCAAATTGCCATAACTTTGTCATTTCTCAACGAAATCAAGTGCTTCAAAAACGAAAGTTGTAGCCCTTGAAGAGACAAAGAGAATGGTACCTTGCACAACACCTAGTTCGCCGTGGTTTGGCCGGAAACTGCCTCGAAAGCCTCGGAGGTCGCCGGAAACTGGGTATTTTTCAAATGAGTATAACTTCTTCAATACTCAACGAAATTGAGTGAAACAAAAAGGAAAGTTGTAGTACTTTACGAGACGAAGAGATTGATACCTACCTCGACTCCTAACTCGCCGGGGATTCGCCGGAAAATGCCTCGAAAGCTTCGGCCAAACTTTGAACTTGTCGATCTCCGTGTTCTTACGTCCAAAAACTTCCAACGAAGCACTCCGAGCTTCCTTGGGACCTCACTAAGCTCACTATGAGCTTGGATTGTCCTAAAAATCAACCAATTCAAAGCTCATGAACAGTACACATTCACGGCAACTTTAGAAACTAGGGTTTTCGAAGTGAAACTTACTTGAAATGGGTATCATCGTGATCGTATGGTCTTCAGGAGTACGATGGCACTCTTAAATCCGTCGTTGGTGGAAGTTTAGGGTGTTTTTTTTGTGTGGTCTTGGTGGTTGCCGTGTGTTCGAGAGAGGGTGAGAGAGAGAGAGAGATCTGAAATGGAAGAAGAAGAGAGAGAAGGAAAGGTTACGGGTTTTAGGGAGTGCTTTGAGGTATGAGGATCCCACCTTAACCCAAACACAACATTACAACCTAGTTTTAGTCCCTAACACAAATTAACCATAGTTTAGGAACTTTAAATAAAACAAATGTCATCTCTTTACACACCTTAATCTCGTTTAAGGTCATTTTTGAAATTTCACGTCCTCGGAATGAAAAATCCCGGGACGGGCTGTGACAATCTCCCCTCGTTATAGAATTTCGTCCCCGAAATTCTAGCCACCAACCAACCCATCAAAACTCATAAAATAGCCTCGGATACATACCTCTCATCCGTTCTTCCGTCTCCCAAGTAGTTTCTTCCGCTGAATGGTTCATCCACAATACTTTTACCACTTACTCTGTCTTAATTCTGAGGGCATCACAAGCTTGTAAGCAACTTCACCAACTTTTCGATAATCACTTAAGTCCGATTCACTTAGGATTTAACTTACCTTCTTTCTCTACCTTGGTTAATTCTTAAATTTCTTCGTCAAGCATTTAAGTTTCGAGTACGACCTTACCAAACAGGCCTAACTTGAAATTTAACAAGTATAACTTCTTCTCGATCTTCCATTCTTAATTTTTCTTCCGTTGGTTTTCAATTCACAAGATGATACTCTTGGCAAACGTGCCAGACATTAATCATACTGTAGTCTTCTCACCAAGTGCTTCAGCTACAACAATTCACGATCACCCTGATCGTACCATCATAATAACTAAGTAATTCAAACCACCTTTGTTGCCTCATATCAAAATCCTTCCGAATAAACAAATATTGGAGACTCTTTTGATTTGTAAAATCTTGCATTCTTTTCAACATATAATGTCTCCACAACTTCACAGCAAGGATGATAATCGTGACTTCCAAGTCACCAGTAGGGTAATTCATCTCATTAGGTTCCATTTGTCGTGAAACATATTCAATCACCCTAACATTTGCATCAATACATCTCCAAGAATATTTAATGTACCATCACCATAAACCAATAATTACCGTTATCTTCTGGGATTACTAAAATACGTGTATGAGTGAGGAAATACTTTAGTTGTTGAATCCCTTACTCACAATTTCCTTCCCACTCATGCATAACTCTTTTTCTCAACAGTCTCGTCAATGACAAAGCAATGACTGAAAAATCTTTCACAACCATCCAAGATAGCCTGGTAAGTTAAGAAATTCCAAATCTCAATTACGACTCGTGGTTGTTCCAAATTCTCAATTTCTGCTATCTTTTAAGGATTCACTTGAATACCTTAAGAATATATAACAATTCTCAGAATGCGACTTGATTCATTTAACTTTAGCCTTTGCTAAACTTAGCATACAACCAACGTTCTCTCAATCTTTGCTTCATCGACTTAATACATTTACATGCTCTGCTCTGGCTTAGAGTATACCAGAATATCGTCAATGAAAAATGATATCAATCTATAAAGGCATTATTGGAATACTTCATCCATCAACTCATAAAACAGCATGAGTATCCATATAGCATCACCAAACTTCATAAAGACTATAACAAGTCCAGAAAACTATCTTATGATCAATGTCGCTCAAAATCTTCAATTGGTAATAACCAGACCTCAATCAATCTTTTGAAAATACACAAATACCTTTGAGCTGGTCAAACAAACATCAACGCACCATGGATAACGGTTCTCGATCGTTACCAATTCCATTGTCTATAATCAAGGGATAGTCTTAAAGCCCATTTTCTTCCTCACCAACGAACTAGGGTTCCCCCAAAGCGTTGTACTAGGTTGAATAAAACTTTTATCAACCAATTCTTTCAACTGAATTTCCAATTCCCTTAACTCATCATGAACCAATCTTTAACATAAATTTATACCTGGCAACAAATCAATAGTGAACCTCATATCTCTGCCTGAAGGCAATCCAGGTATACTTTCAGGGAAGACATCAAGAAAAGTCTAACTCTTTCGACATTATTCACACTACTCCAAACAACATCATTTAGCACCACATGAGCTAATATTTTTGACAGCCTTTCGAAAACAATCTCTTTGCTCTCACAGCATAAATAACGGCCTGACTCAATCCACTTTGCATACTTACAAAAGTAATCTCTGGTCATCCAGATCGATGGAAAGTACTGGTTTCCCGTAACATTTCGTCTTGTCACAATTATAACCAACCAATCTAATGGAACAGAATTAACTGATACAATATATATTCTATCATTATTAAGCATTCTAAATAAGTACAATACTAACATAAAATAATCTACCGGGTTGCTTGCTTAACGAATCCACGAATGAGTTATTAATATTACGGTCTGCAGCCCGCAATACTGATAAATCATCGTTGTCTCGATAAGTAGGCAACCACTCTCAAAGATATAACATTACTATTTTGTCACTCAATGCAAAATACATACACTCGTCTCAACTACATTTATTTACTACTCTCTAGGTAATAACATACATAATAAGAAATATATCAGCCGAAGTCAACTAGAATGACCAATACGGCTGATTCAACTCTTATCTCAATAATACGTCGGCCGGATCCACTCCGCGTGGTCGGTACGGCCGAGCCTATAACTCACCAATTTCTCATGTGTCAGTCGAATCCACCTCTCGTGGCCTGTATGGCTGAACATAACTCATCAAATCTCTCTGTACCCACGGTCAATCCGACCAAACTACTAAGTTCATAAACCTGCTGAATCGATACTACGATGTCATAGAAAACTGTTGGGTACAACTGATTTTAGGGACGATTCACAATTCTGTGTCCCCTCTGTTCACATAAACACATTCATTAATTTCACACTTCCCAAAGTGTTAATTTTGTACCTGCTGCACAAGGTACATTTCCTGTACTCGAGACACCTTGTCTCAAATATCTGGGATTACCAGTATATCCATCACTTTTACTCTGACCAGCGACATTAAAACCTCAGCTGGAAGAATTAACTCTAGCTTCACTTCTTTCGAAGCTCTGAATCTTTCTATATCCTTGATAAGACGAATCATTAACTTTATCGTCTTCTTTTAATTCCCATTCATTTCTTATTCTTCTTTATTCTCGTTGATCATGTTCTCAGAGTCCTCAAGACTCAACAGCATCTCGTATATTCCTGGTAAGAAGTATAATGGATAGTGGTCACCCAAAATACCACTTCCCTTTTTGCCACCCAGCTTAAAACAACATAACACCTCCACCAATAACAACCATATCTGGATGGAACGAGGCAAGTCTGAAAACTTTCTATAATATCCCTCGATCATCACCTTCCTTGTCTCATATTTGTAAACTCTTGTTTACTACCATCGATAAATGCCGGAGGGATAAACTTTTCCCTTAAACAAGTCCTTAAACAATTTTAAATCGGCTGTTCCTCCGGTGACAACACATCATACTCCTGTTTCCACCAGGATACAAATTCATACCCAAAACCAGGTAGTCGTCTCGACCCCCTGTCAGAAGGAAGATTCCTTTGACTTGCATATTCCGAAACATCTTTTCCAATTGGTTAATCCGTCACTTTGTTCCCTCAGGTTCATCATTTCTCTTAAGTGATTCAAATTCAACTCATAATCCGTCTTAAAATGTCCCTTTTTATAATAGACTGAATCACCATAATAATAGTTTTCCCTAAACCGCTATATTAGGGAGATTAAATTCCTCTAACTAAGTGGCTTGCTACGAGGCGGTGTAGTTCTGACAGAATTCACTAGAAACTTCTCAAGATGTCCAAGATTGCAACCATGCTCTGATACCAACTGACACACACCCCGTCCCGAAGGAGGGCATGCTGGCCGTCACGTGAGAGTGACGTAACCATTTGCACAGTACGGAAGCTTTAATTATACAATTTATAAGTTGATACACCCGAAGGTGAGTCCTAATTTTGTCCAATCTGTCAGAACAACCGTCGAATTCCTCGTAGTCACCACACCTTTGTGATTCCTGAACCTGGAGGGGCGCAAAACCAAAATTGAGTGGGTCAGTAAAACAATTCTTTTCCAAATCCAAACATTTCTCAAAACGTTGTAACCCCTCTCCGTAAAACCTGTATACTTTCCCAGAAATGTAAAATATAAATATACATATATATTCTCAAAACTTCATTGTTACTATCTCAACATTATCTCTTTATCAATCATGCCATGCCATGTCATCTCAACATTTCTCATATTAATTATGCCATGCCACATTATCTCAACAGTAATAAGGTATGAATGCATCAACATAATCATATCAGGTGCAAGAAAGTAATCAACCGTAGGCCCTCTAATAGCCCTATACGGTTGAACCTAGAGCTCAAAATCTATCATTATCACTCTACCGGAGTCACCTCTGTGACCCGTCCGGCCTTCTGCACACAAGTTACGCTCTAGTGCTTCTCATAAATCATCTGTGCACATAATCTAAGGTCACCCACCAGTCGGAATCTCACTAAC